GTGGTTATGTCTCTCGCTTCAAGTGTGAGAGGTCCCGGGATCGAATCTCGGTCGAACCTTTCTTTTTTTTTTAAATACTTTTTTTTTTTTTACTAAATGATAGTATTATGCATGTGAAATGAAAAATTTATGAGGTTATAAAATCATCATTACAGTGTGATAAATATTCCATATAAAAAAATCTTCTATACACATAATAAAGAATAAGCAATCAAATCTTTATATGCATATTGACATACATGTATTTTATTTCCTTCAGTATACATGTATACATTTAATAATTCTACAAATTCAGTCAGGGGGAGCCGACTTTTTCCCTAAGCGGGGGACACGAATTCTCTGAATTAGCTTGTTTATATTATCCTTCAATGTTGTGGATATCAAGCAATTAAAATTTATCTAAAAAATGTTTTAGTATTAATTCAAACAAATGTTGTTATTTGCAAGTATTTAGATTAATTACATTGTTGATAAACATTCTACATGGGGTTGAAAATTTGACTGAAGTCTACGTATGTTTCATGACCCTACGGCCAGAAGACTATGGCATATGTTACTTCAAATTTACTGGATTCCATAATACATTATACCATGTTTTTCTTTTTTTTTCCTGTTTTACTTTTTTATCCATAACCTGTACAATTCGATTATAATTCATCAATAAGAATATATATCTTCTATTCTAAATTGTTTTGCCATTTTCTACATCTTGCTCCTATATCTACTGCGATACAGTGCGAGTTTCAATCACGTCCTTTCCGGTGCATTATTATTTTTTTTTAACCTATGTGAATAAGCATGGACCATATCTGCACAAATATGGCATTAAAAATCAATAGTTTCCCTTTTAAAATCATTACACATCAGACTTTATTGGCGATACATACTGATTGCCGAATGACTGTCGAATTCGTAAACAATTTGCAACGTCAAAAGCTTCAAAAACTACAAATAAAATGTTTGGTCAACTCAAATGCGCAAATGAAAACGTAGCATCTACATCATTCAATCGGTTCGATGTTTAAAATGCATGTTACCTGTACAAATGAACTAAAACAAATCAGGTATCTGAATTTAAGTTAAAACTGGATCCGTTTTCGAATGCTGTCTTTCTCCCGACGCAACGTGGCTGTTATAACAAAGAGCCTCGTTCTGATATCGGAGATCGTGATATTCGGAATAACGAACCCGATCGCAAAAAACACTACGGAAAAAACAGCACCCTTCCCCATGATTTAAACAATTTAAAATAAAAATTCCTAAAGATGTTTCTATATAAGTCTAATCTTTTCTGACCCATTGGCTATTGATTTTTAAGAAACTTTTTAAAGATTTTTCTACATATATCAATATAAACTTTGACTCACTATTGTAGCACCACCCTACCCCAAGGGGATCATGATTTGAACAATTTAAATTAAAATCTACACAATCCCAGAATGCTTCCACATAATTTTAGGTTTCCTGGTCAAGTGGTTCTTGAGAAGAATATTTTATTAAAGATTTTTCCTATTAATTTCTATGTAAAACATTGATTCCACATTGTGGCCCCGCCCTACCCCCGGGGGTTATGATTTGAACAATTTAGAATCTACACTACCCCAGGATGCTTCCACATAAGTTTCAGCTTTTCTGGCCCAGTGGTTCTTGAGAAGAAGATTTTTAAAGATTTTTCTTATATATTTCTATGTAAAACATTGATTCCACATTGTGGCCCCGCCCTACCCCCGGGGGTCATGGTTTGAACAATTTAGAATCTACACTACCCCAGGATACTTCCATATAAGTTTCAGCTTTACTGGCCCTGTGGTTCTTGAGAAGAAGATTTTTTAATGACCCCACCATATTTTTGTCTTTTCTTGATTATCTCCCCTTGTGAGGGGACTTGGCCCTTCATTTTAACAATTTAAATTCCCCTTCACCCAAGGGTGCTGTGTACCAAGTTTGGTCAAAATTGGCCAAGTGGTTCTTGAGAAGAAGTCGAAAATGTGAAAAGTTTACAGACGGACGGACAGACAGACAGACGGACGGACGGACAGACGGACAGACGGACGGACGGACGACGGACAAAATGTGATCAGAAAAGCTCACTTGAGCCTTCGGCTCAGGTGAGCTAAAAACATTTTACAAAAATTTCTACTTTTAGTAACAATGGCAACACGAAATCAAAAACCGATGCCCTGTTTTATGTATTTTTATTAGTGTAGTCAACTATTACAACGACGGCGTATTCGTGCCATTTTAACAACGTACAATTTAATAAATCGTTTGTACAATTCATGAAATCGTTTGTACAATTTATGAAATCGTACAAACAATTTATTAAATCGTACGAACAATTTTTTAAATCGTACAAACGTTTTCTTAAATCGTAAAAACGGTTTCCTAAATTGTACAAACGATTTATAAAAATCGTACAAACTATTTTGATAAATCGTATGAACGATTTAATAAATTGTACAAACGATTTAACAAACAAACGATTTATTAAATCGTACAAACGTTTTGTGAAATCGTACAAACGTTTTCTTAAATCGTTCAAACGATTTTAAAAAAAATTCTACATTGTTAAAATGGCACGAATATGCCGTCGTACAAAACTGTAGGAGGAGTAGCATTTTTTGGTCACCCGAGTAAACTCAGGTGACCTATTAATTGCTAACCGTTTTCGTACGTTGTGCGTTAACATTTGAACAATTTCAGCTTCTCTGCAACCACTGAACCAATTTCAACCAAATTTGGCATAAAGCATCTATGAGTGAAGGGAAACAAAACTGTGAATTTCATGATCCCTTCCCCCCTGGGGCCTGAGGGGTTGAGCCAAAACCACTAAAATTAGTGCAATCTTTAAAAGTCTTCTTTACTCCTGGACATCAAGCAAACTGTTTGCATGATTGTAATCAGCATTGAGTCCTCTACCAAAATTTTGAAATTCATGGCCCTGGGGTCAGGGGTTCTAGTGCTAGGGCAGGGCTAATTAAATAAGTATATAGTGAAAATGCATTATTTCTTTGAAAATCTTCTTCTCCTGGGTATTACATAAACTAAGTACATAGTTATGATAAGCAAGAGTGCCGTTACCAAAATTGTTAATTTTATGGCCCCAGGATCAGGGTTTCTGGTGTTAGGGCGGGGCTCTATTGATTATATAGGGAAAATGCATTTATTCTTTGAAAATTTTTTGCTTTGCTTCTGGGTATTAAATAAACTAAGTACATAGTTATGATGAGGAAGAATGCCTCGTCCAAAATTGTGAATGTTATGGCCGTAGGGTCAGGGGTTCTGGTGTTAGGGCGGGGCACCATTGATTATATATAGTGAAAATACATTAAATCTTTGAAATTTTTCTTCTCTGCTACTGGGTATTAAGCAGATGAACTACTAGTTATGATGAGCAAGGGCCCTAATCTTCCAGAATTGTGAATTTCAAGGCCCCAGGGTCAGGGGTACCATAGAGGGGGCTGTACTTGTATATTGAAAATGAATGAATTGTTTCCTTGGTATTAATCAAATATTTTTGAAAAGCAAGGATGCCTTTTCAAAAACTGTGCAATGTGTGGATCTGGGCCTAAGGGTCAGGGAGTTCAATTGTGTGGTAGGGGCACTACTGATTATTGCTGAATATTACCGATTAGTTGAAATGCATTTTTTGTTCCCCTACCCTGTGTATGGGTTATTAAGAAACCAAACTAAGCAACTGCTAAGTGTATAGTTATGATGATCAATGGTCACCATTGATCATCATAACTATACACTTAGCAGTTGCTCTTTCAAAATTGTGAATGCCATAGCATCTGGCTTAAAACATGAATCAAATTCAATCACTGGAATGTTGTTGCATAATGCTCAGGTCAGTCAGGTGACCTATAAATCCCATAGGCCTCTGTTGGAAAATTGTTTTCAGACAGACGGACTGAACGACGGACACCTTACCATTGCATAAGCTCTTCTTGTCTCTGACTAGTAGAGCTAAAAATGCAGATAATCGATCTAGAAGATCCAAGTCGTCCTTTAATAGGAGACTGACATGATCTTTTCATCTAACACTATGCCATTGAGAACCCGGCGTTGTTTGCAGAGACGTTATCGAGTACGTCATGGAATTTGACGAGTTACATCTAGTAAGAACATCTTGAATTAAATCGTGGTTTGGGACCTCAAGAAGACTTCGCCTCTTCTTGAGTTCTGCTCTCATGGTTGTTGAATTTTGAAGGGACTTACAAGTTTCCGACACTTTGAACGAATTTTCCCCACGCTTAATTTCAAAGGCCGATTTTATACAAAGCTGCAAAGTATGCCCAATACACGGTACGTCCTCCAATTCTGGGCTTAAAATACTAGTACCTTCCTTTTCCATATTTCGGGCATTGTCTTGCAAACATACGTCAATTCTCCTTAACAAGCCCAATTCTTTTAAAACTTCTTAAATTTTAAGATGCTACGTTAACGGCTGCGTGGCTCTCAGGCATAGGGCATGTAGTCAGAACACTTGATTCAAGTTCCCAATCTTTTGTTAAGTGGCGTTCGGTGATTGTAAGGTAACTTTCTGTGGCTCCAAGTATCTGTTGTAAAAAGTACGGATATCACATCTTTCAAATTATATAAAAAGGATTTCCTTTTGTTATCATACAAATTTTCAAGTATATGTTGGTAAACTTTTCCCGAGTACCATGAGATTTGGTGCCGAGCGAAGCGAGGCACCAAATGGAATGGAGAGGGAAAAGTTTAACAACATACTTAGTACATGTTTCACACGAGAAATTAAATTCTTTGTGTTTCTATCTTATCATATCACAACTCCACTGTGTTTGTAATTATCTAATCTTCATTATTCTAATTGATGTAGTTTTACACTGGCTAGGTTTGATAATTAGTACCCTTAGGCAAAGTTACCTGTATAACAGACAGGTAAGGGTCCAAAGTGAGTAGAATTCAAGAATACTAGGTCTTTTTCTTACACATTTCAAAACCTCTTCTTCTATGAATCAAGACAGTCTGACATGTCTTTTCAAATGGATTTAAGTCAAGAACTACAAAGTCTTTTTGATATTAGTGAGGATTTGTTCTCAGACATGACTGAAAAAAGTACATGTTTTCCTGAAGTTATCACTGAAGCTGCGTTGGAAAAGCAGAGAATTCAAAGAATACCCAAGAAAACACGACAAAATAACCAATTTGCGGTAAATGTTTGGGTTGCCTGGGCAACCAACAGGAACAAAAGAGCTGATATGCTTCTTGATAAATATCAAACTGTCCCTTTGACTTTTAAATCCATATCAAATGATGAATTAGACTTCTGGATGAGTCGATTTGTAAATGAAGCCCGCAGAAAAGATGGTGAGTACATTTATATTTACTGTCTATTACACAAAATAACTATCTTCAATAGACAAATTACTACCTTCAATATACCAAATCTGAGGCAGAGCTAAAATATGAGAGAGAGAGAGAGAGAGAGAGAGAGAGAGAGAGAATCTTGCAGAACTTAATCTGTTAATATTTAGCTTTGCATCTGGGCCCCTGTCCAAATTACAAATTAGCATCCTTAATCCAAAATGTAGGTAGTAATTGCTAGCTGACTTGCAAATTGATTTTTTTAATATTTTACACATATATATATTTAAAAATAAATTTGAGATTATAATGGTTTATATTATGTGAATAGGGTATAGTCTCTTATTTAATCAAAAGTATAAAGCTGAATAAAGGAGATCAATATTTCTTCAGTCTTTTTTAAAATCTAAATTAAAAATTTCCATTTAAAAGAGTGTGTCGGGACCCAATACCAAAATTTAAAATTTCAATTCTAAACTTCATATTTGGATATTTTAGGATCCAAATACCCTCCAAATACAGTATACAACATCGTAGCAGGCATTCAGAAGCACATTAGGGAAGAATGTAGTAGGCCAGAGATTAACATCTTCAGTGACTCTAATTTTGCCAATTTTCGTGCTACACTTGATGCTGTCATGAAAGAGAGAGTGTCTGAAGGCATTGGTGTTGTGAAGCACACCCAAAACGTAACAATCGATGATAAAAATGAATTGTGGGAAAAGGGTGTGATTAACAAAACAACTGCAAAGGGTTTGAGTTATGGTGTGTTCTTTTACAATTCAAAGGTCTTTGGATTGAGGGGCTTAAGCGAACATAAAGAGCTGCAGGCTCAGCAATTCACCATTTCAACAGATCGAATCATATATAATGAATCTATGTCGAAAACTGTAAAGGGTGGCCTTAAAGACAGAAAATTGACACCTAAAACCATTACCCAATTTAGTAACCCACAAAATCCAAGATGTGTGGTAGATCTTTTTACTCTGTATTTATCTTCCATACCAAACAAAGGCCCGTTTTACAGAAGACCCCTCCCCCCTGGAAAAGAAAATATTGTTAAATTTTCATCACAAGTTGTAGGTATTAACACCCTTGGTAAGTACATGCAGTCAATGTTTGATGATGCTGGAATTGACAAGAAAGTTGTAAATCATTCAGGCAGGGTATACTGCTGTTCAACTCTGTACAATGCTGGGTTTGAGGAGCAGGAGGTTATGAAACGCAGTGGGCATAGGAGTTCTGCCGTTAGAACGTACAAGAGAGCATCTGAAGAAAAAGAAAAGGAAATTTCAAATGCTCTGCAACCTCCTGCTCCTAAAGTCCAGCGGTGTATAGAGAGTGAAAGTGCACCAGCCACAATTCCACCATCAACATTGACTTCAGGTACTTCCAAGGGTCAACCTAGCAATGTTTTGAGGCTAGAGATACCATTGTGTATTGACACTATTGTCATAAGCAAAAATGGAAAAGACATCACACTGTCTATTTAGTTAATTACATGTATTTATGTAATAAATATACTTTTCTGTTCTTTTGTTTATTTTTCTTTTTGTTTACCAATACCATGCATTGGAGATGTGGTTTCTGACCCATGGTGTATGATCAGATTTGATCATTACTTATCATTCGCAATTATAGGTTCAGTAATTATGAACACAATAGCATGGTCATTCGCCCGTGAAGCTTCAGCTTGGAGTGTACCAAGTGAAGCTTTGAGTGTACCAAGTGATTTGGTATGGCCAAAAATCCTTTGTTCGAGGTGTGAAACATGTACTAATTCTAGCTATTATATATATTGTTCTACTTTAAATCCATTCATTACTTTTCAATGAAAGTAGAACAGACAACAACACACCATTTGGATATAGCAACGACACGTAGCAGCTTTATTGTACAATGAACATACAACATGCAAAATATAATATATATATATATATATATATATATATATATATATATATATATATATATATATATATATATATATATATATATATATATATATATATATATATATACCTCTGAAATAGCCATAGTAACAAGACCGGTTTTAAAGAACCACTTGATATACACCATTTTCAGGAAAACGATGAAGAACGTTATCATCAAGGGTATTTATGCTGTCGGAATGCACCACTGGGGTTCCAGAAGTTTACCAATTGATGAAGTTTTTAACATTAAAAATGAGCCGGATAATCATTTCAGTAAAAAGGATGTAGCCATTTTTAGAGAAAAAGAGCTGTCAGATAGATGCGCTTATTTACAGAGGAAATACGCCGCTTTTATCTCTCTCCTATTTCAAGAAAAGTTGATACAGAATATGGTGTACTTAAAAGCAAAGGAAGCCTTTTAAGTTTAACGTTTATACTCGTCCGAGGCAAAGATGTAATCTTGGATTGATTGTATGTTGTATAACGTCCTTCTCGAGAATTTTTTCACTCATTTGGAGGCGTCACCGTATGCCGGTGAAGGCCTATACTCAGCACTCAGGACCATGGAGCAGTGAGGGTTCTTTAACGTGCCAACGCCTACTGCGACGTTTCTACGTTTTTAATGCCCTGTTCACACGGAGAGTTTAAATTCGAATTAAACGTAAAGTTACTGCGAATTAGCTTCGCTTAGCGTTCACGCGGAGAATTGAATGCGAATTAGTTTAATTCGAATTAGTTTACTGGGCATTAAATTACTTCGCATTAGCTTCGTGTGAACGCTAAGCGAAGCTAATTCGAATTAAATTCTGACGCATGCGTAATGGAAAAATTTAGTCAAATACCACTTGTCGGTGGTCAGGCATAGGTACTTGTGCTATTTTTGAGTCAAAAAATAAGGGAAATTTTTTGTTAATCATTAAAATGTGTGTACAGACACTTTGACATTATGTCAAATGGATCTGCTTCTGCAGAAGGTGACGTGATTTGCAAATGACGTCATAATAGCCGTGCTGACGCCGGGCTGCAGAAGTAAAATTTTAATTCGCATTTCACATTAGCTTCGTGTGAACGCAATTTAATTCGCATTAGTTTACTTTGCATTAATTTACTGCGAATTAAACTCTCCCTGTGAACAGGGCATAAGTTCATGTCCGAAAGACTCGTGATTTTCACTTCTATTGCCGAGCGCTTAGCGAAGGAACAGTAACTACTTATGTTTACGTCTTAGGTTTGACCCGGCGCCGCGAACGAGAACCAAACCCGGGCCTCCCGATCAAAAAGCGAACGCTCTACCACTAGGTTACCGTGACCGGTGTATAAAAATGTATCCAATATACTTGAATTTAACGACGTTCGAACCTGATATTTAAAGTCTTAAACTTTTTTTGCCAAGTATATTTTTAGTTTCTGCATACATAGCTTAATTAAAAATCAAATCAAAAAATGGGAGTTAATACGCTTCTTTTGGCGCTACAATACATATAATATCACCTTTCTGCACTGAGATTTGTGTCTCAATTAAAAATTACATTTTCGACGTTTTCCCTCCAATATTTTTATCCAATTAAAGCATGAAACAGAATGAACTCTAAGTTTGTTTAAAAAAAGACACTTAAAAATTGTGACTAAGAAAAAGTTTCAAATTGCTTCGCATAATCAATTATTTGACCTTTCTGCACTAATAAAATGTGACTTTTCTGGTATTGAAAATTTAATAAGCAAGAAAATTATTTTAAAGTCTTAAACTTTTTCTGATTTTAAGCAAATAGATTAAATTTATATTGAATATTTAGAAAAGAATATCAAAAGTTGGGGTATATGATGTAAATTTTTAGATACTATACCAAAACAGTGTAAATTTTACGTTAAAATTGGCTCAACTTTCCCCCGGATTTTCAGAATATATTTACTATATTTGTGTCACACTTTGTTGATAGAATTCATAAGAAATAATTTAATAGATATTTCAGAACCAGTATAACACATTTCACTGCAAAAACAAAAACAACCAGAAGTCTCTGTCGAGACTGTAGCTCTACTGGTTTATACTTAAAACAAAGGAAGAGAAAAGTAGCAGTTGGGACTTGAAACTTTAAAACAGCAATAAATAGAAAAATGATCTTTGACACTCATCAAAATAAAAACCGATGCACAGAATTATGTATCTTAGTATAGTCTACTTGTGTGCCAAATTATATTGTAATCGGACCAAAACTGTAGGAGAAGCATTTTAAAAGAATTTCTCAGAAAATTTTATTTTTAGTTACCATGCCAACACCGTTCATTGAAATCAAAAATCGATGCATATAATTATGTATCTTAGTGTAGTCAACTTGTGTGCCAAGTTATATTGAAATCGAATTAAAACTGTAGGAGGAGTAGCATTTCGAAAGAATTTCACAGAAATTTCTATTTTTAGTAGCCAAGGCAACATTGTTCATCGAAATCAAAAACCGATGCACAGAATTATGTATCTTAGTGTAGTCAACTTGTGTGCCAAGTTATATTGAAATCGGATCAAAACTGTAGGAGGAGTAGCATTTCGAAAAGAATTTCACAGAAATTTCTATTTTTAGTAACCACGGCAACACCGTTCATTGAAATCAAAAACCCATGCACAGAATTATATATCTTAGTGTAGTCTACTTGTGTGCCAAGTTATATTGAAATCGGATCAAAACTGTAGGAGGAGTAGCATTTTGAAAGAATTTTACAGAAATTTCTATTTTTAGTAACCACGGAAACACCGTTTATCGAAATCAAAAACCGATGCACAAAATTATGTATCTTTGTGTAGTCTACTTGTGTGTCAAGTTATGTTGAAATCGGATCAAAACTGTAGGAGGAGTAGCATTTTGAAAGAATTTCACAGAAATTTCTATTTTTAGTAACCACGGCAACACCGTTTATCGAAATCGAAAACGGATGCACAGAATTATGTATCTTAGTGTAGTCTACTTGTGTGCCAAGTTATATTGAAATCAGACCAAAACTGTAGGAGGAGTAGCATTTTGAAAGAATTTCACAGAAATTTCTATTTTTAGTAACCACGGCAACACCGTTTATCGAAATCGAAAACGGATGCACAGAATTATGTATCTTAGTGTAGTCTACTTGTGTGCCAAGTTATATTGAAATCAGACCAAAACTGTAGGAGGAGTAGCATTTTGAAAAATTGTTTACAGACAGACAGACAGACAGACGGACGGACGGACGACGGACGCATTACTATCGCATAAGCTCTTCTGGTCTCTGACCAGTAGAGCTAAAAACAGCTTTGTGTGCAACCAGGATGAGAAAATAGGAATCCAAAATTAACAATACTGTTATTATTCAAAATGGAAAACTGATCATTTTCGTCTAAAAAGCGCGGTTTTTCATTGAATATAGTGAAATTTGCACTGTAGAATTCAGATTTAATGTTAGAACTTAAAAATAATGCAGAATTTTATAAATAAAGGACCTGACCAAAATATGCTCAAAATCTCAGGATCGAACGTCTTTAAATGTATTTAATGCACAATTTAGTACATATATACAAAATACAATGTATACAACCTTTCGTTTGTCTTTTCATTTTTATGACGCTTGTATGGCTGCATTTAATTTCCGGAATACTTTTCGACACGAACGCAGGGTTGGAGACTTTACTACTCAAACATTTAATTAAAAGCTCGTGAATTATATTATAAACATATTAAATTCAATAACTCGGAAAATCATTGCAAGGGGGGGGGGGTCTCTCCTCAAAAATGCCAAACTAAAGATATTGATTTAAGGAATCACTGTCTAGTTAGGAGAGTATGCCAGGGCATCAACAATAGTGGGAAACATGGGATAATTTATCCCATGTTTCCCACTATTGTTGATGTCCCTGGCATACTCTCCTAACTAGACAGTGATTCCTTATATTTTCCTTTCATTGTGAAATAAAATGGTAGATTTAGACTTTAAAAATGTAGACATAGATTTAAATTACACGAGAACTTCCATGCCAATTTCAATAGTCCTCGCCCAATGACGTCAAACACCTAGGCAGCCGCACGAGATTTACGCGCACATTTTGCCTCTTTAGCGTCAGACATAGAGACAGATGCGCACGAAATCTGCATGCATTTTAGACCTCTTTAGCTCCTGACCTATCGACCTGCCTAATTTACATTCCGCAGAATTATCAAGAAATAAACTCCGACAACTTTCAAAGAGTTATCGCAGAGAAAAAATTAGAAATGGAAATATAATTTGATATCCATTTTTAAGCGGTTAGCTTCGCTAACCGCTTTATGGCATGTGTCCGATTTTTATCGACACCGGAAACTTCCATAAGGCGCTACCTATCGACAACGGAAACTTCAACAAAGCCTCTACCTAGTACCTATGATTTGTTTCTAACACATGTAACATATGTTAAATAAAATCGAGACTATCAAAACAACATAATCTTTCGGTTTTTTAAAATTTTTTTCTGATTTTGTTTGTCAATGAAATAAATTTATAATTGTTGTATTAAAAAAAGTTTATGTATAGGAGCATTTGGTGTCGAGATTAAATTTCCGTGA